TTTGGCAAAATTCCTAAAAAAAAAAAAAAAAAAAAAAAAGAAATGGAGAGAATACGGGGTAAACAGTAGTGAATATTCGTGGGTGGTGATTAACTTAACAAAAGTCATTTCCGTCATCCCTATCCCCTTTTTCTTCCCTGGCAGTGGCGGTGGCATGTATATGTGTATAGATAGATAGATAGGTAGATTGCATTTGCTGAAGCTGCTACCTTTACATCACCATATCTTATCCATCTACAATATGAATGCTTCTGATGAGTCAAATAGGGAAGGTCTGGGACTGGGAGGGAGAGTGGCCATCGTCACCGGAGGGTCGCGTGGGATTGGAAGAGGAATCGCTCTCCATTTGGCATCCCTCGGCGCACGCCTCGTCGTCAACTACACCTCCAACTCCGCCCAAGCCGATCTCGTCGTTGCCCAGATTAACCAATTACACTCCAACAATAGTGACGCCCCACCACGCGCCGTCGCCGTCGCCGTCCGAGCCGACGTGTCCGATCCGGAGCAGGTCAAGTCCCTCTTCGACAAGGCCGAGGAGTTCTTCGGTGGGCCACCCCACATCCTCGTCAACTCTGCTGGTGTTCTTGATCCCAAATACCCTTCCATTGCCAACACTCTTCTCGATGATTTTGATCGCATTTTCAGGTTTCACTCCCTATAACAAATTACATAATAATAAATTCTCTATTAGATGAAACAACCCATCCCACATTGAAGTTTATAATCACTTAATAGAACACTGTTATAAGTTTTAAAATCCGTTTAAAAGTGATTTTTTTAAAAGACTTATTTTGTGGTTTTATCTTCTGACATATATCCAAACTCTTTTAGAAGTAGATATATGTCATTTTTTTTTTGGCTTTTTAGAAGCCTTTTTTTTTGTGACTTTTAACTCATGACAGAACGTTCAAGTGTACTTGAGTAGATATATGTCAATGTTTTGTGACTTTAGAAGCCTCATTTTAGATTTGGGAAGCCAAAAACTGCTTTTATAAAGCTCTCCTTAATAGGCCCTATCTATTGTAGAGTAGTACATACATATATATATATATATATATATATATGTATATGTCAACGTTTGATCAAGTCGCAAAAACAAATATTACTGGGATGAGATGACATGTAAAGAAATATTACAATGAATTTGTTATGGCTACTCTACTTATATAATGATAATAAGTAGAGTTTGGTAATAGGAGTTGATGAGTGGTCAGTAACATTTCAATGAGAAATTTATTTATTTATTTGAACTCTCTGTATAAATATGGGTTGAGACAAGTCCTTTTCTTGACTTGTGCTCCTTCATAAAATAGGACACAATTCATGAGTTTGTTTGTTTATTATGTCTGTCTCCAAGAAATAGTTGTTGCCATTCTTTCTTTAGCTTCTTTGTTGGTGTTTTGTTATCTGAATGTGAATGTGAGATCCATCCATCTATTTTGTAGGTCTAAGTTGCTGTTGGTCCTAACTGCTCCTTTTAGTTACAACTTATTATTCTGAGATTCTGTTTGAATGCATCAAGTAATATTGGATCAGATTAGACAAGAGTCCGTTTCTATTGATTTTTTTTTTCATTTAAATCCCTCCTTTTTCTCAATCAATTATTATATTGCTCTCACGAGTCACGAGAGACTGCTGAATGGATTAACCATAAAACAACATGCTATAAATGATGAGAAACAATTTCAAAGAAGCTAAAGTTTACTTGTAGAGCTATTGTTCTTATTATTAGACTAAAAAGTAAATAGGTATCGAACTACCTTTCTTACTCAAATGACTTCTGTTTATTCAGACATTGTCGTTGTTTCAATGTTAACCTTTTTGCTCAAATTGTTTGTTTTTTTTTTTTCCTCTCTTTGCTTAGTGTGAATGCCAAAGGGTCGTTCTTGTGCTGTAAAGAGGCAGCAAACAGGTTGAAGCGTGGTGGCGGCGGGCGGATCATAATGTTGTCGTCGTCTCTGGTGGGCGCATTGAAACCGGGATACGGAGCCTACACCGCGTCAAAGGCGGCTGTGGAGACGATGGTGAAGATACTGGCAAAGGAGCTCAAGGGGACGAGGATCACTGCCAACTGCGTGGCGCCCGGCCCCATTGCCACGGAAATGTTCTTTGCTGGAAATAGTGAGGATGATGTGAAGAAGGTGGTGGAGCAGTGTCCCTTGGAACGCCTTGGTGAGGTTCAGGATGTGGCGCCTGTCGTGGGATTCTTAGCTTCTGATGCCAGTGAATGGGTAAATGGCCAGGTCATTCGCGCTAATGGTGGATATGTTTAGGAAACACGAGTTTGAGACACAAGCAGATATAAAGCTCTACTGTCCTATATTATATGACTTATCAGTTTGTGATTGTTGTGCTTTTGGCAATGAGTCCTACTTTTACTTGTAGAACTAGAATCCGAAAAGTACCTTTATGCTTTTCGAGCGAACTCATTAAGGCCCGCAAAAGCAATAATACTAAATTGGTGTAGGTGTGAAATCAAAAAAATAAGTTAAATGTGAGTTTTTGTTGTTGGATCATGTTTGTGTGCCGCTTCAAAACTGTGTTTGGCGTTTTTGTGTAGGTTGTACCGAACACATGAAAAAAAGATATAAAATTTTAGGGCTGCTCTTATGTCCGGCAGGAAACAAGGTGAGAGAGTCGCGGTGTAGCGAGTTGATTGATGGTTGAGGCGTACAGCGGCGGGGCTACATCTTGCAGATCACATGGTGGCCGGTTCCGCTTCTAATTTGATTCAACGTGCGTGTTTAATAGTTTGGGAAAAATCTAATAAAGGAGCATATAACTTTTTTTTTTTTAAGAGCATATAACTTATGCCATTTTTTTAAAGACTTTTTCTGCCCCGTTTCCCAGGATAAAATTTTAATAGAAGACACAAAACTAAGACTAAACATGCAAGTTTAGCAGGGTACATTCCCTAATTTCTCGGGTTTGGGTCCTTGTGAAATTTTATTATATATGTGAAAATTGTTGAGAAAGTGCATGTTTTAGATTTTCACCATTCATGAATATTCTTTTAATTAATATAATTATTTTACTGAAAAGATTATTTATTAGGGGCGTTTTTATCTCATTTTCTTATTTTATATAAAAACATGTAACAAATTTGTAGTTTTTTTTTTGGGAAAAAAATTTCGGAAACAGAAAATTGAGAATTTAAATGGGGTAAAAGCGAGAGTTTTGCACAAAGTGTCTGAGAAAGTGGGTAAGAAAAATAGAAATAGAAATAGAAGGAGAAAGAGAAGGGCATATTGGTCAAAAGGGAGCAATTGGAGGGGATATTAGGAGGGGGGAGACAGAGGAATATGTGGTAACGGTTACTTGCGTTGCGTGGTGGCGTTGTTGGGTTTGGGTTTTCGTTTTCCAGTTGAGTCATCATCTTCAATTAGTCATAGAACTAGTTTAGTTCTGACTGAGAATTGAAGAGATTTTTTTTTCTTTTTTCTTTTTTCTTTTTCTTTTTTTTTCGAGAGAGAGAGAGTTGGAAAGTGGAAATGGCACAGCTGAGCTTGATGGCGGCTCAACAAGGACGGGTGAAGTGGGTCTTGTTCTTCACTAATGGCAATGGCGATGGAGTTTCGTTTGGGCTGGAATTCCCAAAGCACCCTTTTCACTACTACCTCAACTCCAACCCCACCAACGTTAGAAGAAGAAGAAGAAGCAGAAGCAGATCCTTTTCACTCCAACCCCCTAATAATCTGCTCCTCAGATTCTCTTCTTCTTCTTCTTCTTCCTCCTCCTCCTCGAGAATTCACTCCTCCTCCTCTTCTTCTTCTTCTTCGAATAATAATAGCAGTTATTCGGATGACGAGGAGGAGGAGGAGGAGTTTGAGATGGACGAGTTGTCTTGTTTCAGAGGTCTTGTTCTCGATATCTCCTACAGGTGATTATATTTAAATGTATAATTGATCCTCTGTTTCTTTTTCTAATCTTAAATTTATGTTTTCCTATTCTCTTTTGTTGTCATCTACCCAGTACTGTTGGTTCATTAATAAGCTCATTTGGAAAGACAGAAAGAAAGAAAAGCATCAGACTTGTTGCTGTTACTCATTAATTTTGTGGAAACTGGAAATGCTAGTTGGTAACTAACTGATAATTAATTAATACTTAAAAACATGGATGGTCAGGCCAATTAATGTGGTGTGCTGGAAGCGTGCTATTTGTTTGGAATTCATGGAGAAGGTGAGTCCGTGGAGTAGTCTCTGGATTTCCTGCTGCATATACCCATCATAACAATACTCATGTTTTGTTGTTTTTCCCTTTGGCAGGCTGATGTGCTTGAATATTATGATCAGACTGTAAATTCCGCAACCGGATCTTTCTACATACCAGCTGTCTTAAGGGTAATAAATCTCCCTCCGTTTTGTTGAGTGTTTGCAATTATTATTATGTGAATGATATTGTGTGTTTGTTGTGGTTGGTTCCACTTGCACTTGCCATTTCCAGGTTCCGCATTTACTGCAAGTCGTTAAGAGAAGAAGGATAAAGAGCAATCTCAGTCGTAAAAACATTCTCTACAGGGACTCTTATACCTGTCAGTAAGTAGGCCTTTACCGATTTCACTGTCACAATTCACGTCACATTTATTTATTTCCAGGTTCCACAACTCTTGTTTTAACATTTACTCACATATCATAATTCAAAGGGGCTTTGCTTGTTCTCTCTCTGGTATATATAGGAGAGTGTATGTGTGTAGGCAAAACTTCCCCTGCACTTGCCAAATTCATCGTTTGTTTGCCTTATAATATATTCCACGCACACACACACACACATATATATGTTTAAACCTGAAGGGAGCCAGGGAGGCAGCTATACTCACTTGATTATGTATATATGTCGAAACAAAAAAGGTACTGTTCGTCGCGCGACAACTTGACTATCGATCATGTTTATCCAGCCGCACGTGGTGGAGAATGGAAATGGGAGAATCTGGTAAGAAGATTATTAACTGACTAACTAATTCCCTCCCTCTCCCCTGCGGCTGCCTGTAAATGTAATTACTCAAATCACAACTTACAGGTTACTGCTTGTGCAAAGTGCAACTCAAAGAAAGGTCAAAAAACATTAGAGGAGGCTAACATGAAGCTCAGTAAGCTCCCCAAGGTATAATTCTCTTTATTCATGACATCATAAAAGCTCAGTAAGCTCCCCAAGGTATATATATATATATATATATATATATATATATATATATATGTATGTATGTATGTATGTATGTATGCTTATGATTGATCCATGTTGCAGGCCCCGAAAGACTACGACATACTTGCGATACCACTTACAACTGCAGCAATCAAAATGCTGAAAATGAGGCGGGGAACTCCTGAAGAATGGCGTCAATATCTAGCATAGCCTTCAACTTAATGTACTCTGTTAATGTGGCACTTGTACATTTCCTGTGCTTTGTACCAGCTCTCTGATAATAATTCATTGCAGAAACATATCTAAGAGTTGCATGGCTTATAAAAAAAAAAAAAAAAACCACATATTTGACCATTGTTAATGTACTTAATGATCCTCGAACAATACATGTATACAAAGTGCTTATCCCATTTAATAAATATCCTAATATAGTGTTTTTAGCTAATTCGCATTTATCTTTTGCCCAAGTTCAATTGCTCCAAGCACACTTTCATTTACTGGCGGGCCGTCTCTTATTAGCCCCCTATCTTGAGGGAGGGGCAAGCATGCATGCTTGCACTTCTAAGCACTGTATATACTGATCGAGACTCTGTTGAATTCTCTCTGCTTGTTTACATGATCAAATTAGTCCATTTTGTCGCTGCCGCATCCGTGTTTGGTTTATTTATTTTTAATATTAGTAGATTTCTTGGTGTTCATACAAATATATCAGCATGCGTGTTCTTGATCAAGAGTTAATTTCATCTAAATTCCAATATGATCTAAGGCGCGTTCTTGGTGTTGGACCAAAAATTGCACCAACCACAAACATTAGTATTAATGATGACAACACGGGTGAAAGCTCATCGGAATTATTAAAAACCAGAGCCAAATAGGAAAGGTGCTCAACATATTTATTCAAAGGTTTATTTCCTTTCAAGGCACACAAGTGATTAATGTTGACATTATGTTACGTATATCTAGACATGACATGAAATATATATATATATATATATATATAATTCCTATTTATATATATGGAAGTAACCATTGGCATATAACAAGCTGTATATTGCTCTTTGACATATGAATGTGGAGTATATAATATCGATATACGGTGACAATTTTCACAAAAGAGAGTAGCTATATCAATTAACTTTTAGTGTGAAGAAAAGGCCAAAACAGAGCGTATAAAAATTATGGCTGACAATCCGAGTGGCGACAAGACGATAAGACTTAAAACCTATACGAAATTAGCGAGTTTAAATTTACTATAAATGAGTTTGGGTCATAATCGGGTTGACACGATTAATACGATTAATAAATGGGTTGGGTTAGGGTTGACATCCTAACACGAAGTGACACGAATTGACACGATTAACTATATGTGTCATCTGCAATATAATGATATGTGATATAACATGTAAGTTTATATAACATATTAAAAAATAATATTTCGGTCTCGTTCATTTTAACCGATTCGAGTTTAGAATTCGAATTTTGTTATAATAAAAAGCTATTAAAAATAGTCACCTTTAACTTTTTTACTGCAATAAAAAACTCTCACATAAAGTCACATTTCAACTCGAATTAAAAACTCGAATCAACGAATCTTTGTATTTTAACATATTAGTAGTCGGTCACTGAAGGCCGTTGTTATTTAACAATTTATGACAATGGTTAAGCAGGAATCCGACGCTTAAAGCTGATTTTCTAGGAGCGACTTTAAAAAGAAGCACATGAATAGTCAGTCATTCATTTCCTTTGTAAGGAAAAAGAGAGATAGGCAATAATATTGTAGGGGTCATGGAACGAAGAACTTGACAGTGTATTGGACAACTATCATGCCGAAGCAATGCAAACAGCCTGAAACTTTTGACTGCAGAACTGGATAGAAGTCGTCAGTATTTAGATGTGATAGCTGTTCAAAGTGGCTGTTGCTATTGGTGTATTTGACTCTTTGCTTTTGGTTAGGTGCCAGGATGGTTTATTTATTTATTTTTCGATCTATTCCATCTTTTGCCTACAACTTATGACTGCTTAATTCACAGTTTGTATACACTTATATTTATTCTTACTAACGCCTTTATTATTATTTTTTTTTTCCCACTTGCAGTCCATGATAATGTGTTGTTTGTTTTATTGGATTTGGCAATTATTATGCCATTGCGTGAGTTAGTTAGATATGTTAACATCAAGTTTATTGTGGCTTAATAGAATATATTATATTTTTTGTATAACTTTATTTTCTACATGTTGCACAAAGAATTTCTTTTCAAGGAAAAGTTACATAAAGATCATAGCTTGTTCATAATGTGTATTTAGTTGTTTTTGAATTCAACAAAAACTGTCAGGGAACAACTAAAATTTTGGATGTCGTTTAAACTTTTTTTAACAACGGTGGAAATTAATTGTTATTTAATAATATTTAACGTCAGCTATTTTTAACATCGGTTGTTTGACTAACTTCTTTTAACATTTTTCACATTGGTCAAAAATCATTTTTAAATAGGATGATTTTAAGGCCATGTTTAGAGTTGGTTTTGTTTTTGTTTTTCACGTTTTTTGAGAAAGAAAAATGAAAACGGAAGAGAAACGGCGTTTGACACAATTAAAGACAAAAAAGAGAAATGAAAACAATTTTTTTGGTTTAGTGTAAAATAGGAGATAAATAAAAAATGACTTTTAGTCATTTTTCATTTTTTGTTTCTATTTTCTCCTCTCTCGAGCACACAGAGAGGGTGAGAGACATTAATTGATTTTTTATACTGAAAATAATCTCTTGATAAAACTATCAAACACATTTTTAAAAATGATTTATGTCTGAGATTGAAAATATTTTCATTTTCATTTTCATACAAAAAATAAAATTATTTTAAAACGAGTTCCAAGCACATTCTTAATGTTGCTCAATACGATGTCCGTACAAATACATATGTTAAAAAGTCATTCACAACCGACTTTAAATTACATTTTTGTAGTAGTGGAGGTGTGGGGATTTTTTAATAACATCAAAATATAGGGTATAAAAATGAAAAAAAAAATCTATGAATTTGAAGGTGAAGGGACTTAAAAATGTCATAATTTTTTCATTTAATCATTAAAGTTTTTATATTTTCTAATTATTTTAAATATAAAAGTTTACTTTTATAACTTTCCAAACTTAATAATTCATTAGAACAAAAATGAAATAACATAATAGATCACATTTTTTGAAGGTAAATATACAATTGACATTAGCATTTGCATGAAGATGGTCTTACATATTTTTTAATGTCATTTACAATAAGATTTTATAAGATTTGTTACAAAGCTTTAATAACAGTTTTAAACACTTTATCTAAACTCAGTTAAGATTTTATTCTCATTTCAAATTACAATTAATTTGCGTATCTAAACACCAATTCGAATAATAATTTAAATCATATCACACAATTCCAACAGCGAACCAAACAAGGCCTTACCGTGTTGGCGTCGCATATCATAGCTATCTGCTGTCCGTTGCATATTTAAGGTAAATACGACCCTCGATTAATTAGTGAGTAAATTAACATTCCTACATGTAGTATACTTACGTGGTGATGACTGTTTTGACCAAAAAGACAATTTACATATATATATATATATAGGAATTTTCTCCAGTCCGGTACACGGACTGAAGCGGCAGTTGTACATTTGTCTATAAAATATGTATATTTCTTCTTTAGAACGTGTATATCTCCTCTTAAAATATGTATATATTATATATTTTACCATAAAAAGAAATGTACATATTTAAAAAAAAAATATACACATTTTAAAGAAGAAATATACGTATTTTATAGACAAATGTACAAGTCCAGTGCCGGACTGGAGACTTTGCCTATATATATATAGGTAAAGTCTCTGGTCAGGCACTTGAAAAGTGCCTGACTAGAACGGCACTTGTACATTTATGCTGAAGTGTGTATATTTATATGCGTTTCGTGTATATATTTATATGTAAAGATGTATATAAAAAATGATAATGTATATTAATCCTCAAAACATGTATATTTTATAGTAATAAGTGAATATATAGCATAAAAATATGTATATTGGCTAATTTGTTATATTTCATGTTAATGAACGTGAACGACAATGTATATTAATTATAGAAACATGTATTTTTGTAAGCAATAAGTAAACACATACAGAAATAAGATGTATATTGGCTAATTTGTTGTATTTCATGTTATTAAACGTCGTGTGGAAGTTTTTTTTTACGCAATGCTGTAGGAAACGGCAATATACATGTATTTCTTATTTAAATTAAGTGAACATATAACATAGCAATATGTATATTGATTGAACTTGGTTTGGAAGTTATTTTTGCTTGAAAAAGTCTTGTCATTTGAAGATTGAATATTGTTGTCGTTCTAACAAGCTGTAATTTGCTGTATGAGACATGTGGATCCGATATAAATAAGTGAATAACTGACAGAGTAATGTGTACAATGACTTAGTCATTGTTGTTCAATAAAGTTGTATTGTAGTTTGCTTGTACACTAAAAAAAGCATGCTGATGTAACTGTAAAATATAAGCTGTGTAAATGTTTGATTTGCGTAAAATTTTATTTTTGTAAGAAGAAGATATTATGAACGACCACAAGCATGATATTGCTTGCCTTTAGAGGTCGTGGCTTAATGCATGACATTGGCTTGATTTTCATTTGAATAAGTTCCTTCACTTGTTTGGACATTAACATCAGCTAAGAAAATAACTAATACAACATCGTAATATGCTAGATAATGTTGAAGTGTTGAAACAAATAAAAATGCTATTTCATTAGGAATGCTTAGTAAAGACAAAACAGATACGTCTTACTAATAGGACTTCATATATGATATTTGTCTTACTAAAAGGGACGCGTCCTACTTTTGGATGTAGTAAGTATGTGATTTGGATTGTTGTCCGAAGGAGATAGTAAATCCCTCGTGTTCGGTATTCATGTGAGGGCGGTAACACTGTTGGGAGGAGCTTATATTTTCCAAAGACATTTGTGTCGGGTGTGTGCTGTCGTCGTTCCCTTCTGAACAAATCAGCATGGTTTTGGCCTTGTCTTTCTTTAATGGACATGTTTGTTTGTTGTGCCCATGGCCCTTACACAGGGCACACTTCCTTCTTAATCTTTCCAAACCCAATTCTCCTGAGCACTAGGCCCCACTTGCGGCCGCCTTGCCGTTCCCTTGTTTCGAACAACAATAGGATCTTTTAGTACTTCAAACGGATTGATTTCATCAATAGACTCTTCTTGCACAAGAGGTGGCTCCCTTTCCATCAAGCTCTTAAATTTTAAACATAAATTTGCAAGTTCTGTTCTTGTTTGTTGGTAGAAATCCTCCACTTTCGTTGCATAGTATGCTACTTGGTTGAAGTCGGAACTGAGGGTTCCGAACCTAGTTAGTTCCAATATCTCCTGTGGGACCTCGTTATTACTTTGATATCTGGTTTGGAATTGGGCCTTTGCATGAACAGCCCACCTTGCCAAAACAAGCGAATCTGGAATTCTGGTTATGTTTAGAAACTTCAGAACTGAAAATATGTGTCTGCACGGATATCCATCAGTCTCGAAGAGTAAGCAATTGCACGTTAGATGACTGTCAGAGATGCGACGTATAACATTGTGCTCGGAGTCTCCGTTTGGGAACTTGATGATTGAGAAATTTATATACCCATCGATCTCATCAACTTGCCTAACAGTGTATGCATGTATGAGCTTTATTTCGTGAGAAACCTTTTTTGTATAAATTCTTCTCGTGAACAAAGAGGCAACATGTTGATAGTATGGGTTTAAAATATCTGCATGTCGCAAAGAAGGAATATTGTGTCGGGGGGAGAAGTCATCCTGCAAATCTTTGTGGTGCAGCTTGTTAATGGCGTGGTCAACCAAAGATACAAAGTCCGTGAGAGACTTCGTACTGTCGAGGAATTGTCTGATTGTTCTATTCATCGACTCGCTACGTTGAGTGGTTCGCATGCCTGCACAGAAATTGCCACGCAGATAGGTTTCGGCCCAGCTCTCCCCCTTTTCAAACATACATGTTGCCTAGTAGTTGTTCTCTAGTTCGTATGCCAGAATCAAAGAATGCCACCTATCGAGAAACTCAGGTTTGGAGTAGTATCTGTACATAATTTCCTTGAAGTCCCGCTTGAAGTTTATATCCTTCACATTGTTTGCTACGTTCTCCATTAGATGCCATCCGCATAGCCTGTGCTTAGATTCTGGAAAGACTTGCGCTATGGCATTCTTCATGGCATTGTCACCATCCGTAACGACAACTTTTGGCTTCCAATTATTCATTCCTTGGAGAAACATCTGTAGAACCCAGACAAACGTATCAACTGTTTCGTCGAGAAGGAGAGCAATGCCAAACACTATTGTCCTCCAGTGGTTGTTTACCCCAACTAGCAAAAGCAAAGGTTTGTGGTATTTGTTAGTCCTATATGTTGTGTTGAAGGCCACGACATCGCCAAAGACTGCGTAATCTCTCATCGAAACCCCGTCCGACCACATTATGTTACACAATCTGTTTTCTTCATCGGCATTGTAGACGCAGTAAAAGTCCTCGCCGTGGTTCCTCGCCAAGCACCTAATGTAACCAAGCATGCCATCTGAGTCCGTGATGTTTTGATGTTGGTCCTTTGCGTTGCGCACTCGCATTAGTTTGTTATGGATGTCCTTTTCAAGGAAAGGGAGCTTGTCGTGTCCCCCCGATTCTAATGCGATAAAGTCTATTATTTGAACATTTTTCATGCCAGCCCGTTTCATTGACTCACACCTTGCAACAACGTCATCAGTGACATTGCGATTTGATCTGAGAAACCTGATTTCTTGTGGTGACGCACATTCGTGGTTGTGGTTAGGGTTGAAATGTCTACATACCCACTTATTTGTAGTTTTGCTTCTTATTACCCGAATACTAGCTTCGCACCCACAACGTGTTTCAGATGCCGCCGCTCTTGAACGGTGTTCTAGTTCCAACCACTTCCGTCTCCTAAAACCTTGTCTCGAGCAGCACCACCGCCTACCCCAACGTTCACCGTCCTTTTCCTTTCTTGTACTATCTTTCCTGTAGCTGAAGCCTATATGTTTGGAGTATAACTTGTAGAAGTTATTCCAGAGTTCTTCCGTATCAAGTTCTTTCCCAAGTAAGTCTTCTGGTAGCAAATCCCAAGCCGTTTTTGTCAAGACTAAAGTGGTACAGAAATCTTGCCACTCCATACTGTACCGGTGCTCTAGTTGGAATTTGGACTAGTGTAGTGGTTTAGTCTGCAAATAAAGGAGACCAAGAGTGTATATAGTGCTCCCATTACAGAATTGTGAAAAGATATAAGTGAACATCCATAGACTCAATATTGCAACTATCAACTTGCAACGTTTTTATTGTTAAAGGACGTGTTTTATTTTGGCTAATGTCTAGTGTAGCCATGAATGAATAAAAAAATTCTCAACAGAGTTTTTGTGGAGAAAATGACTTTAAACTTCAAAATGGACATAACAAATGAGGAAACAGAGACAATGAGACTTGTGAATCGTGTTGTAAAGGAGCAGTGTACCTGTGGTAAACAGTCATTACAATTCAGCCCGCCTAGCAATACGATTACAACAGCCTTTGGAGACGGAAGTAATGCTCTAACTTTTAGAATCACTGCATGCTTCTCCGAAGTAGCCTCAATTTCTTTAGTTAATGGCCACACATGTAAATGGTGTTTACATGTTCTCCCACGGTTTATGATCACCTTTAAATGCAACAATTGGTTTGGTACAACCAATTGCGTTCATCACATTTATGACTACGTTTATGAAAAGTAGATACGATCGTTTGTGGTGTTGCTTTGTCATGTGTAGTACACCTATCCACATTGATAATGGCCAGCATGTGAGTTTGAGCATTAAATTCCACTTGCTTTAGGCGGCACATGGGCCGAGTATTCTAACGTGTTCCCAATTGTATCCCATATAATGAGGCCGATTGATTACTTTTGGGGAATTTAAACTTTAACCACGTACGAGGACAATTTTCTGAGCATGAAATGTTATGGTTAACATATTGTACATTACAAGCTGAGGACATTTTGAAAATATATGTGTCAAAATCAGGAGAACATTGTTTTACAATGGAAAGTGCAATGGCCTTTCAGAAGTTCAAGTTAATAAAAGTGCGATGGACATTGTCTTATAAAAGGAAAAAAAGACTTTCATTGCATTACACAAAAACCAAAACATGGCATGTCAATATGGTACGTCATAGGCTTTAACATGCATGCACTACTAATACCAAAAGTTCATGTGCATCACTCACATGAATATATGCTATTAAAGACAACATTTTTTTGATTTTAGCTACATAAAATAGTCGGAACGTAATGAACATAAAACATTTCGCTCGGATCTAGTCCAGGGGAATACACTCAACACACACTGGCTCACGTTTGGCTTCCTTCTCGTTCTCTTCGGTTGCATTCCCAAGGTCTTTCACTAGGCTGAGAACATGATCTTTGAGATTCTGGATATCATCTAGAAGGCTCTCGAGTTGGTAGCATTTGCTACGGGAATGTGCTGCCCTCCTAGCAATGGACCTTTGTAGGCGACGCTCAGAATCGTTAAGATTCTCTAGATACTTGCATCGTTTGCATGTCTCCATGACAAGACAGGTTTGACGGCGACGATGTGTTTTACTTGAAACACATGACTTCTGGTCGGACTTTGGGGACTCCTTAGGGGTTGGGTTGTCAAACACTGGTGTCGTCATTTCTGGCGAAGATGGTGGTTCAGTTTTGATCATGACGTTGTTCATCGGGAACAAGTTTACTGGCTTCATTGTGCTCACTTATGCTACAAGAGTGTATCGTTTGAATCTGGGCTATGAAGGCCAGCTTTATATAGAATGTGTTGTCGAGGTTGGGAAACGTTTTATATGCGCGCCAATTGTGCAACTTATGGTTTCCCGCCTAATATGGTCTTCCTTGACATCATATCATGATCTACATTTCTGCATGAATTACGCATTTATACATTCAAAAGCTGTCCAATTGACAGGCTTTCCATCTACAACATCACAGAAAATAAAATCTTTCTTCTTGGATAGAGTGTGTTAGGTTACCTATTATTCTCAAACACATCATAGAATAAATTAACTGATAGTGTGTTGTACCATTTTAAAAGAACTCTATTATTCAATAATATTATATAATTTACTACAATGATATTCCTACAGACCGTGGCCTATATTTCTGCAACAACTCTGCGTATATACATTCAAAAGCTGTCTACATAATCATCCCATATACATTCAAAAGGTGGGATAAATTTTTTTCCTCGCGCACTGTACGTCAACAATAAATACAAAGGTACACTAGGAATGCTGACGTCGTGACAAATGTGATATTCAAACATCCTATATTGTGTGTTTACACGGACATTTCCGGTTGGAGGCCATGCTTCTATGTTATATAGCTCTGTCATGTTGTACACAAACTACTATTTGAAGTGACTTTTACTGATCCAATTTACTTGGTTTTGTGGGTTGAAACACAACACAGTTTTATACAACGTTTTTCATATTTACACAATGCCGTATAAGGAGATGGTTTAACGTCTTCCATTTGAAATAAGTTGCCCCGTTTTGAACGAATGATGCAACCTGTGCATGTCTAAGCTGTTGTATTAATTGTCGGAATACCATGGCTTAATATTTTGTAATCCTTGTTCGTTAGATATTCTATTAATAATAAGAAAACGCAATAATCCACGGTGACATGGATTAACTTAACATACAAATATTGGCGTAATACGACAAAGCGCAACATAATAAGAAACTGGAAATCCTCAAAAGGTAGATGAGTTAATGAAAGATCAACGGCTGCAGCATCTTAGTGATACATGCCGACAATAGGTATTTACAACAAACTGGAAATCCTCAAAAGGTAGATGAGTTATTAGGACTTTCCCGACTACCACCACTGTTTCCACCAACAACAAGTGGGAGATTCATCCAGAGACGGTAGTCCATGAAGTCCGCATACGTCTTCACCCCCTCATTCTTTATATCCTCCACTGCTCTCATGATCTGATCGTAATTCCTTTTCGCATTAATTCATTCTGCTATAGCATTTGCTCTAGTTCTATCAGCCTCTGCTTTGAGAGCCTCATTCTCTGTGGTCAGCGAGCCAACCACCTCCTCAAGTTGCGTTATCTTCTGTCGGAGCTCACCAACTTTCACAGCACGCCAGATTTCTCGATCATTCGCCCTGTTTAACGAATATATTAGGTTGTTTATGACTAGTAATGGATCCTTTGGCAAAACAACCTTGTGTGGAATTCTCTCGTCGTCGGGATTCCGTGCTAGCGGTGGGCTGGAAAACGGTGATTGCTCACCGGTGGGTGGGGAAATGGAACGGGACATTTTTTCTGGTCCGACACTTTCGACAGAGAACAAGTAGTCGGTAGAGACAAGGCTGAAATATGAATACATTCCCCATCACAACTAAAGCTATATAACAAATCAAATTTTGTATAATTACATCGCTTAATTTTCAAACGAAATCCCCAACATGCCCTTATGTATATATTGTCTTACAGTGAACACCGTGTTGAGGGCTGTAAATTTTGGAAGGTTTTTTTGGGAATCCAAATGACTATTGATTTGTTAACTAAAACCATCCCGGGCCCTTGGTCGCCACACTACGCAGGTCGAGCCCTTTTCACCACGTCTTACTTTTTGCATAAATTTTGGAGGCGATTTTTTCACCCCACGCCTAGAAAAATGTAACGCTCGTGCTTGCACAATTTTATTATTTATTGACGTCGTTTCTATTTTTTTATATTTTTTACGGACGTAAAGTTAAAAAATTCATAAAAAATTCAATATTTGTCAAAAAAAATTGGTGCCCTTGTTGAATTAATTCTTAAAATTCATATATTAATTTTAGAAGGGCAAAAAAAAAAAAAAAAAAAGTCCACCAAAACCATCCCGGGCCCTAAAGTCGCACTCATGCGGCTAACTACGACAACCGAATGGGCTTTTCACCACGTCTTACTTTTTTCATAAATTTTGGAGGTGATTTTTCCCCCCACGCCTAGAAAAATGTAACGCTCGTGTTTGCACAATTTTATTATTTATTGACGTCGTTTCTATTTTTTTATATTTTTTTACGGACGTAAAGTTAAAAAATTCGTAAAAAATTGAATATTTGTCAAAAAAATTGGTGACCTTGTTGAATTAATTCTTAAAATCCATATATTCATTTTAGAAGGGCAAAAAAAAAAAAAAAAAAGTCCAAAACCATCCCGTGCCCTCAAGTCGCCCTTATGCGGCTAACTACGACAACCGAATGGGCTTTTCACCACGTCTTACTTTTTTCATAAATTTTGGAGGTGATTTTTCCCCCCACGCCTAGAAAAATGTAACGCTCGTGTTTGCACAATTTTATTATTTATTGATGTCGTTTCTATTTTTTTATATTTTTTACGGGCGTAAAGTTAAAAAATTCGTAAAAAATTGAATATTCGTCAAAAAAAATTGCTGACCTTGTTGAATTAATTCTTAAAATCCATATATTAATTTTAGAAGGGCAAAAAAAAAAAAAAAAAAAGACAAAAACCACCCCAGCCCCAAAAGTCGCCCTCATGGGG